AATATAAAATTAACTATCATAAAATATTTCAAGATTAAGAGGCCATAAAAAATGGGAAAAGAGAGAAAAGTTTTAATTTGAACAGGAATTGTAGGTTCTTTCTTTAAAGAAAATGAAATAATCTTTGAGTACTGAGAAAGAAAAGAAAAAGATAAATCATAGTTTTTTTGTTTATATGAACAGTATCCAAATCTATGTAATATAATCATATATTAAGTATCTAGAAAGTGCTAGGCACTGTTTTCAACAGCTTTTGATAAGCTCCTCAGGGTAGAGACCTAGTCTTATTTATCTAGAACTAGCCCAGTGCTTGTCAGGAAGTATGTACTCAATAATTGTTCAAATAATGATCTAATCACTTAACTCTCACAGTGACCCCATTTTGTAAATGAAAAAATTATGTTTCAAGTAGATTAAGCCAATTCATTCTAAGGCCCGCAACTCCTAGGGGGCTGGGATTCTCATCAGATCTGCCCAATTCGGGGCTCCTTATCCCACTGGAATAAGCAGCTCAAGACACCATATGTTTTCCAGGGCAGGGGAAAGTACTGTCTTCTTCTTATATCTCAGACAGCATCTAGCATAGGCTTGTTCAAAGTGAATGTGCAAAAATAAATGCTTGTCATACCAATCACCACATTTTTTGTAGAACTCTTTATCAATTTAGGGTTACCTTCCACATAACACCAAAACTCCTAAAGGTATATTTTGTGTTTATGGATACAAAACTATTGATCAATAAGGAAGTTAAAAAAAATTTTTAAATGAATTTCTTTGAAAAAAGGGTTTTAATGTATTTTTGTTGTTGTTAGGTGCCGTCAAGTCAGTTCCGACTCATAGCAACCCTATGTACAAAAGAACAAAACGCAGCCCAGTCCTGTACCACCCTCACAATCATTGTTATACTTGAACTCACTGTTGCAGCCACTGTGTCAATCTAAGCAATGAGGGTTTAGTAAATGAAATAAAGTATATGTAGGTGAGTAATTATTGTGAATATAATGAAGTAATATGAAGTTTTAAGTAGTTAAATCCCCAAATTATTTAATATCGTGGCTCACAACTACTTTCAGAATGGTATATAGTCAATATCTAACACTAGACCAGTGGTTTTCAATGTAGAGCAATTTTGTCCTCCAGGGAACATTAGGCAATGTTTGGAGACACTTTTGGTTATCACAACTGGGGAGTGCTACTGGCATCTAGTGGGTAGGGGTCACAGATGCTGCTAAACATCTAACAGTCCACAGGACAGTCTTCCACAACAAAGAATGATCTGTTCCAATGCTGGAAAATCCTGTTTTAGATGATTAAAATAAGGTAGAATTATCTACTCTCCGTGTGTTTAAATTAGCAACAAGGATGACAGTAGGAAAATCCATTATCTCCCGGGATTGTAAAACAAGTTCTGGACACTTTGCAAATCTCCCAAGCACACCACTGTCATCCTCAGCTGATTGAGAAGTGCATTACTCTACAGGCTGCAGTGGAGACAAAGGAGGGTTGAGAACTGATATGCACTTAGTACCCAGTGAATGTGAGCATGTTTCAAGTAGCAGCCTACAGGTGTGCAAGAAGAAACTGCCAACTTTCCTGGATTCAGGGTGATCTCGAATCAGCTTCTGACAACTACCAAGTTAAATACAACTATTACGTTATCAGGAGAGGCCAGTCCCTGGAGAAGGGCATCATGCTTAGTAAAGTGGAGGGTCAGCGAAGGCGAGGAAGACCCTCAACTAGATGGATTGACACAGTGGCTGCAACAATGGGCTCAAGCATAAAAACGATTGTGAGGATGGTGCAGGACTGGGCAGTGTTTTGTTCTGTTGTACACAGGGTCACTACGAGTCCAAACTGACTCGACAGCACCTAACAACAACAACAACAACACTGTGTATTTTAAGCAGTCCTGGTGGTGCAGTGGTTAAGGGCTGGGCTGCTAAATGAAAGGTCGGCGGTTTGAACCCACCAGCGGGAGAAAGATGTGGCAGTCTGCTTCTGCAAAGATTACACCCTTGGAAACCCTCTGGGGTCAGTTCTACTCTGTCCTGTAGGGTCGGTATGAGTCGGAATAGACTTGATGGCAACAGGTTATTTTGTATTTAGACAGTGTTTAACTACCTCACATCTCTAATTTCCAGTATCTAAAATTCAGTAACAATAGTTGAGAGGAGGGGGACAAGAACAACAGAAGATAAATAACTAAGGACTACATGCAAGGTTTCCACTCTTGCTTCCTCTCCCCACACCACCATTTTCTTACTTTGTAGACTATTCATTTGACGATAGAGTTAGGGAAGCTACAGAGCACACTGTAAATGAAGAAGGAAATTTTTAGTAGAGTTAATTTCTTGGTAATAACAAGAAAGGAGGAGGTAAACATTAAAATAAAGTATTAGGAACAATGGCGAGGAAAAAAGAAGCAACCATTTGTGAAGTTCTGTCATACAAACATCAAAGTATTATTCTCCTGTGACAAGAAGCTTTGGTGCACTGGATGAGTCAAAGGTGACTCCCAATGAAAACAAGCTGCCGCATCTATAAGGTCTCTGAGAAAAACACTGTATTCCAGAAGGAAGCCACTGCTAAGATGACTTCCCTCTGCTGCTGAAACTCCAATGGATGCATGAACAACCTCTAACCATTAGAAAATAGACAGGCAAGAATATTCAGTCTGATGTATTAAGGGAACCCAGGATATTATCAGATGAATAAAGCATTGCACACTCCTTCAGGACTGCTGACAAGCCTGAAGTCTTGAAGAATTTCATACATTAGATTTAAAAAAAAAAAAGTCTCTTCCTTCACTGTGCAGTAGGAGGCCTCAGTGGGAATTAGCTATAGGGATGCTTCATCTTTCCCCACTTAAACTAAAATGTGGGGTCCTCTAGGCCAGGCAGAAATGGAAATAAAAGAGCAATGAAAACAAAATTTCCTAACACCTACACAGAAAATCTATCACCATTAAAACAGTGACATATGATGCCTCCAAGAAAATCTTTAGTTAGTTAATAATTAGTTACAAAAAACCAAACAAAACTAAGTATGCTAGAATATTTTGCTGGCCACATAGTCATGGATACTACACAATACAGTATAATGGAATTCAGCAAGTGACTTACTTCTTAAAGTTCACAGAAAATCACTTGTATAAGAGGTCAAAGACAAGCACCCTTTCAACATTAGAGATTTCTTCGGGGTTAAAGAATGACAGTAAAATAACTACATGTGTGGAACTGCTATAATTATTCTACAGGAGTTCTTGGTGCACACAGTCCCATTAAAGAGAGTAAGACTGAAAAAAAATTTCCTTATGTTATAAACATTTTCCCAAAGGAAAAAAAAAGACTATATATGATAAGTAATTTTTCTAGATAGACCATAAAAGCTCACAAAGCCCACAATGTGGCTGAAGGTTTTGGCACTTTGTTTTTGCCATCGATCAACCAGGAGACTGGCCTAAATCTCTCAGGTATTACACAGCTGTGAAATTCTGATTTTTAGGACTCCAATCAAACAGGTCTTCAGAAATTTACCTTGCTTCTGTTGAAACATTCTTATATAATAAGAAAAGACACATTTTCTTTTTTTCTTCCTTCAGTATCCCAAGTTTAAGGCTTCAGTGAGATACTGTGGGGTATCAGTGACTCAGCAGCATGAGAAATGGGGGTTACAGGCACAGACAGAAGAGTATATTATATAAATGCAAAGCAAATGATGTTTAATGTCCATATTAACTTGGGTTTTTGTCTAGTGATAGGGAAATGTGATTAGCAAAATAATCCTGTTAATTACTTTTCACATTAAATTATCATCTATTAAAATGAGATTTCTCTCTTAATGAGAATTGTCATTCTAGGCAATAATCAGCCAGATGGTGTGCCCTTGCTTGGGATTTAATTTTGCTTTACTGAGAATTCATTCTTAAGGAAGCTCACTGAGTGTATTTGCTCTTGGCAGGTGTGTTAGCCAAAAGGTCTGCCCAGATGATGATGTTCAACAACTAGTTAGGAGAAGGAAAGACGTGTGAGTCTAGCCATTTCAAAAATGAATTGCAAGGCCTTTGTAAAGACATTTTTATTCTACCACATATATAAAAGGAAACGCTAATTTTTTTCTAAAAATAATATTTCCTAACTATATTTATTATAAGGAAATCTTCATTGATGTACTGTTGAAGAATTTTTATGGCACTATCCCTGATGTCAGGTCCCTGATGGCGCAAACAGTTGAGCACCTGCCTACTAACCAAAAGGTCTGCAGTTTGTGTCCACCCAGGGGTGCCTTGGAAGAAAGGCCTAGCAATCTGCTTCTGAAAGGTCACAGCCTTGAAAAAACTATGGAGCACAGCTCTACTCTGCAACACATGAGGTTGCCATGAGTTGGAATCAACTTGATGGCAACTGGTTTTTTTTTTTCCCCCCAATGCTATCCTAGACTGTCACATAACTAATAGAATTTCTTCTTTGGCAACTTAAAAATACAAATCTCTCTAGATGGATGCTGCTCCTCAAACCCAGCAAGGTGATCACATGTTCCATTTCTTGTGCTGCTGAGTCACTGATACTCCTTACATAAGGCCAAAGTAATCTTTAGTTCGCCAAAATTATAAGCACTTCAAAAATTACTATCATGCCTCTCTACAGCACTTAGAGAGTTTGGCTCTATTCCACAGCATTCCTTTAATCTCAGTGGAAGAGCACTTCCCAATTACTAGCACTTGAGAATATCTACATCTTCCTCCATTTAAAAATCCAACTGAGTAGAAAGTTATGAAACTAAGTCAGCACACAGTAGCTATGAAGATGTCACATTTGCTATATTAAAATCATCCTTTAATAGAAAGTCACTCAAATAACATCCTTCTAGAAATTCTAAAATGTACATTTTAGAGAAAACCATTATTCAAGAAGAAAATTAAGTATTTTACAATAAAAAAAAATTAACATGTAATTAGAATCTAACTGACGAACAGATTTTCAATTTTACCCCACACTCACCTCTCCCGAGGAACGGCAAACCAGTACTCTGGCTGCTTTCTTCGTCTGCCATACTGTTGGACCATGGCGGCAGAGTGGGTGGCAAAGGATTTTCTCATCGGTTTTCCCACCTTGATGCACAGAAACATGGGAGGAGTCTTGCTTTTCTCTTCTTTTGAAGGAAGTATATCTGAATCACACATGAAAAACCTGTCCTCAATATTGGCAATTTTGGTGACACTGAAACTTTTCAAGTTATAAAGAACAGTGTCCAATCCCCTCTTGGTGATGGAAAGACAAAACATATTGTAGAAACATCATACAACAGCATCTCACTAAGGCTGAATACATTTTCCAGACCTTCTTTAGCACAAAAGCTTTGGATGTTTCAGGTTGGTCTACCACATGAGAAGCTACATACTGGAAATAAGCATAAAAACCAACACCATAATGCAATTCAGTTCAGACCGAAATATCTTCAAAAAAGATTCTAAATTCTTTTAGATTTGAAAACTCAAGGTAAAAAAAGAAAGTCACTTGAAAGATTTTTTAAAAAGCAAACTATCTTTGAAACAGAAATCAGTCATAGGACAAGTTCCATAATAACTCATTAAACTCACTGCCGTCGAGTCGATTCTGACTCATAGCAACCCTATAGGACAGAGCAGAACTGCCTCATAGAGTTTCCAAGAAGCGCCTGGTGGATTCCAACTGCTGACCTTTTGGTTAGCAGCTGTGACACTATGCCACCAGGGTTTCCAGTTCCATAACAGATATCACATACTGCTAATTTTTGCCAATTATTAATAATCAGCAAGTCTACTCTCTATTGAGAAAACACTCACTGTTCTAAAGTAATTTTACTACTATTGCTATTGCATATGCAAGTTTTAGAAATGCAATTGTACAACAGGTTAAAAAGACATTAAAGAAAAATGACTTACCTTCAATGGGTACCTGAATTCTCTTTAATAGCCATAACTGAATTTCCGATTTATTATCCATTTGTGCACCTTGGCAGCTATTGTCCAGAGAAGACTCCAAAGAGGAGTCCAGAGACTCTTTAATCATATTTTCTCCTGTAGAAGGGCCCAGTTGCAGCGGAAGGAGTGGGCTCTCTTTCATCCAGGTTTTATCTGTCTCTTTATTTTCCTCAGTTGAGGGATCACCTGCTTGGGGAAGAGAACTACTAAGGGTGATGTCTATTCCTATGGGTTCAATGCTTTTGTCATCACCTAATTCTGCCTTTAGCAAGTTTTCAGGTAACTGTGATCCTTCTTTGTTCTTATTAAGGTAATACTCGATGAGTTTAACTTTATCTAGATCTTCATGTATGTTCAGTGTGTTTTCCACCTGGCTTTCTGGGGAACCAGATTGCTTGTCCACTTCTGGTATTGTATCTTGTTTCTCACAGGTTTCTAAATCTAGGGCCCCTTTCAGTTCAGCATCACTCTCTGTTCCTGAAAAGTTCAGGGCTGACTGCACCTGCCTTTCTGTAGCAGAACTGATGATTTGGGACTTAGCTTTGCTTAGGTCCTCTGGATCAAGGCACTCCTTTGCATTGTCTCTTTTATCCATTCCACTATCAGTTTGAGAAGAAAGTTCCTCCAGGTCAACGAAGTCATCATCTTCCACTAAAAGGGAGTTTTCTTTGGCTATAGATTCAAATGCAGTGTCAGGAGGTTCCTTGCTGACCCCAGTCACGGTGGTAGATCTACTGGTTGCCTCTATAGAGGATTCCAGTTTCTTTAACTTTCCTGACACAGGGCTGCCTGAGGGCTTTGTATGTGTATCATCGGTTAACTTCTCCAAAGGTCTTGTTGATTTAGAATCTGTATTGATGGTTCTCTCTCCATGCTGCTGCCGTTTTTCCTTGTTGAGATATTTAAACTTACTGAATGGGTTTATATCCTTTTCAGAAGCCAAGTCTTCCCATTCTCCAGGCCTGTACAGAGGACAAAGATCCTGAGGTAGGTCACTGTTGGGGAAAAATGGTGGGTGCACATGGAATGTTAAAACAAAACCAAAAACAAAATGGAGGAAAGGCAAAACAAATCAAAATCCAACCAAAAACCAAAACGTAAAATATGCTGCAAGTTAAATTTATGTTTAAATGATTTCAAAATAAGGAAATGAAATCAATAAATTGACTTCAAAAGGAAACATAAGTCAACTAAAGGAAGTGGCAAAAGAAAGAATTATGATGTAGCAAACTCTACTAGAAGCACATGAATGGTTTTGAAGTCATGTATGAATATGGAGATGTCACCCATCAGATTTTTAAAGATGAAATAATAATGTTTCCAATTTTCATGAAGGAAAGGACAAAGGAGGGAAAACATTTTAGCATCAGTGGCTGAAATTCCTTAAATATTCAAAGCTCTTCATTTTCATAAAACAGTCTAGAGACCAACTACATTAGTTCTGAATGAGTCATTTACTTAGCAACTACTGGTTTCATAGCTCTACAAGGTGACTGGCCCTGAAACATCATTATGGGTTTCATGGATTACGATCTAATGCTTCCAATAACAGATATTCTCCCACCCCTGAAGGAGATGCAAGAAACATTTATGTAAATATAGCACAATTTATGTAAATATATAGCACCTGTACCATTTAATAACTTCTCAAATCTACAGAAAAGTAAACTGGTTTATCAGCTGAAACATATTAATAACAGATGCTTCACTACCCAGACTTGGATTACAAAGAAATATTGATTATACATGTTTTTCTAGTTTAAATTGTCAGTAAACAAATATTTTTCAAATTGTGACTAGAAATGCCTTGAGCAATCCCATATTTCTACTTATTTTAGTGCTATTACTGGATTAAAACAGGGACATAAAACTCCTTTTTAAAAATAACATTTTTAGATTTCAGAAATAATTTTAATTTCTAAAAAGTTTAGATCATTTTTAGGCTATACTTTCCCTATTACTTTGTACCAGGCAGTTCTTAAATTACAAGAAGACTGTCTCCTCAAAGTTATTCTATAAATCACTTGCATGGAATATCCATGCTTTTTCTAAAAAAAAAAAAAAAAAAAGCCTACATAATTGTTAGGCTCTGACAAATGCTGTAAAAAGCCTCTTTAATTCATAATTCATTTCGATTCAATAAACATTCATTGATCCACTAAGTGCCACATGCTGAAATGCTGAAAGATGATTGTGACAGCGTCTCTGTTTTGCAGGAACTTACATGTACCTGGGGAGCATGCACAAAATGTTCTGTCCCACACTAGCATCCCAGGAGATGTTAAGGATGCATCAATCTTAGAGTCAAATAAGTTAGTATAATGTGGTTTAACTTCCATATTGGGACTCAAATTTTAATTCGGCATATTAAAGGCCGTAAGAAGTTCTGCATCAAAGAAACCCAGCTTTTCACAGTCTTGGTTAATAAGCAACACTTTCTTCTATAAACATCCAAGTCCCTTCTCCTTATCTCTTCCTTCCCTACCTAGCTTGCCCCCTCCAAAGAACACATTCAACTGCACTCTAAACAGCCACCTAAATTACCTTGTTCACCCTATCCCTCTTGTTCTTCTACCTAATCCAAGCTGCCAATTCCCTACTTGGGATTAATTTAATCATTTGCTTTCTTTGCACTGCAGTTGCCAAGCTTTGCTGGGGCAAAGTATATAATGGTGCCAAATGGCTCCATTGCTAATTAATGTTTTCTAGACTCAGCCAGGCACCTAGTAATGATCAATAACCCCTTCAATTGTTCCCATCCTATTCTCTGTGGCAGCTGGAGTTACAAGATGTCTACACAAAAAATACAAAACCTGAAGGTAAGGCTGGAGAGATTTTACATGCACACCACGATTTACATAATGCAGTTAGATAAGTTGTACTTATTCCTTTACCACATGACTTTTGGTAATAATTAAATCTTAAAGCAATTTTTAAACTTTCTATAATTGATGGAATTCTGAAGACAGTACAAAGTTCATTTCACACAGATTCCACTCATACATTCTATTTTGCTCATTAGTGCACATGCTGTTCATCAGACTAACAATTCTTTATATACTTGCATCCAAGGCAGGAATCAATGCACAACCCTGAAATAATTTCAACAAATTAGGAGCCAATTCTTAACTTTCCTTTCTCCCCCAGTCACAGCATTATCCCTATTCCAGGCCATTAAACATAATCTCACATTGAGAGAAATCTTTCTGTAGAGAGATGTACCTTCCATTTCTACTATTAAACAGAATACTTACCACCTGGCCTGAAGATGTGCATTAGTGTTACCCTATTAGAAGCCATCATCGGCCAAAAAATGCCCTATTTGTCTAGCCATCCACTTTCAAACTTACCTATATCTTTAACTATTCTTATCTTGTTTCCTCTTATCCACAGAGAACACAATGTTCATTCCTCCTTTCTGAAACTAACTCTTTCATTTCCTCTTCTCCTCCTCATCTAAGATTCCCAAAATGTCCCAGGCAGTTGGACACTCCCTCACATGGGTTCTCTGTGTACACTTCTATGTTTACAGTGCCGGCTGATTATCACTTCTGTGCATGTGTCTGTCACACCCAAGAGACTACAAGCTCCTCAAGGGCAGGGGTCATAACCCACTCATCCTCATATCCTTGGCACAAAAGAGGCATGCACTAAGGTGCACTGGAAGCCTGGATTCGCATGGATAACAGGATTCCCATGGGACAATGCATTCAGAGTTTCAGTTATGAATTAAATGTTCAAATAATAACAAAAGCCTACACATCAAGCACCAGGCTATCTTCTAAGAGCTTTGCACATATCAATTCATTTAGTCCTTATAACAACCCTATAAGCTGGGGACTACTATTAACTCCATTTTACAGATGAGGAAACTGAGGCTTGAGATTAAATAACACATGCAAGTCATGAAGCCATAAGTAGCAGAGCCATAAAGCCCAGGAAGTGTGGTTTCAGACCCAATCATCATGTCATATTGCCTCTTAACCTCTGGCTTTGAACACTTCCAGTGGTAAAATTTAGAAACTACCTCAGTGCCCATGCTCTGATGGTAGCTTGGGAATGGGAAATACTGAGTGGATCAGATACTTTCTGTCTGGATTAGTTCCCTACTTACCTTCCCTTCTTTTTAGATGAAAGTCCCAAGGCTAGCTTCTCTTTGTACTGTTAGTATCATTGTTTTGCATCTTCTTTTCTATTACTGAGGGCTTCTAAAGATTTTTATGGCTAGCATATGTAAAGAAACAGACACACTGACAAAATGACAGTAAAAATCAGATTACCCCTACAAGTGAATAGTTCCCTGAGCTTTATAAACTCTCTTTCTTCATGGGGAGTTTCCCTCTTTTTCGCAATAGACTGAGCATTATAAGGCAAAAGAAATCAGGACTAAAGTAATATTCATCTATACTTCAGAGAAAAAACAAACCACTGTTATTTCCTTTTCAATCCACTTAAGGCAGTCTACCCATAGGGAAGGAGGCTACTGTACTGTCCACTAAACCTCTCTCTATGCAGGAGCAAGCAAAGACATGAGTTAGGAAGACTGCCTATTCTGGAATTTAAATGGGGAAGAGGCAGAAAAGGAAGAAAAGGAGGAGGAGACAAGAGAGGGGGTAAGGGGTGAGGGGGAGGAAGAGAATATCTTTTTATGTCCAACTTTTCCTTATCATTGACTTTATTATTTTCATTCCCTCTCATTTTCCTATTTTTTAAAAAATTTAGAACACAAATTTTCCAGCTTGAAATTTACCTCTACATAATCCCTCACTCCTGCAAATGCCCTCATTTTTAAATTGCCGTTAATTCTCTCAATACCTCTTTTTTCTGGTTAACAAAGAAATGTGTCTTACGAGGGTAAGGCATCTTTGATCTTCATGTGGGAAATGTCATTGTAGAGGGCAATGGAAACCACCTCTTCCATGGGGCAGATGAGGCCGTACTCCTCACACCCATTTTCAATAACCAGGGGATCAGACTTGTGAGGGTCAAACATGATGTTGTTAGGAGTGACAATCATGACGCCTCCAACTACACCCTGCAGGAGAGATGGATAGGACAGAATTACCAGAGAGGTATGCTTTCAACAACCACCATAAAAGCTTTATAACTAGCTCATAGTGCCATTCCAATTGTTTTGTGACCCAGAGTATCAGCATCCTACACGACAGTCACATCTCTTCAATGAGTGTTGAAAAAAAAGCAATGTTAGCTCTGTGTTGTGGGGCAGGGAAAACACATTTGCCTTACTCTGGCAATCACATTGACCCTGGTTCCAGCACAGAAAACAGCACAATTAACAGTATGACCTTGGGTTACTCATGTGTGCCTCAGATTCTCCAGATGCTTGTCCATAAAATGAGAGGGGTTATCCCAAATGTTTTCCCAATTGGGAACACCATGCTTTACAACTCACTCAACAAGAATTTACCATCGGTCGATCAGGTAGGTGCATGGTCCTGTACTAACGGAACAGCTATTCTTGGGGTGATGGTGCCAAAAAACACCTAATATTTTTGTCTAAAATGTTTAAAATGCATAAATCCAGCAAAGACTCAACATAAAGAGGATTACAAGATATTCATCGCCAAAAGTGAATATAGCTGAACTATGGAAATTAACCACTTCCCATCTGTCGATTTTTTTGTACTGTGGTGGCTTGTGTGTTGCTGTGATGCCAGAAGTTATGCCACCAGTATTTCAAATATCAGCAGGGTCACCCATAGTGGACAGGTTTCAGTGGAGCTTCCAGACTAAGAAAGACCAAAAAGAAAGGCCTGGCGATCTACTTCTGAAAATCAGTCGAACCTTATAGATCACAACAGAACACTGTCCAACTCGCTTGCTTTGGACATGTCTCCAGAAGAGATACAATTGCTGGAGGAGGACATCATGTTTGGTGAAGGAGAAGGTCAACAAGGGCATGGGAGACCCTCACTGAGATGGACTGGTACAGTAGCTACAATATTCTGGCAATTGCAAGGATAATGCAGGACCAAGAAATGTTTTGTTCTACTGTACATAAGCCTGCCATGAGTTGGAGTCAACTCAATGGCAGCTAACAATAATCCATGGAAATTAAAGGCAAAAAGCAGTAACTTCGTGGGATCTAAAAAAATCTAAAGCTTGGTTAGATTACATTATAGACCTTGATATCCATGGAGATACATCTACCAGGGGCAGCAGAATACAGATGACTCCTTTTCGGTAAATAATTTATTTTGTACTCTTAATGAGTTTACTGATCGTTTTTGCAAGAAGTTTTGCATTTTATGCATTACTTACTTTTGGGTACAAAAGTTATAAATGCATTTCAATAACTTATTTTCCTTTTATTTAGAACCTGACATGAACTATTATGAGCACAGGAATCCACTTTACACAACATAACCCCTCTTGAGAGGCTCACTAAAAGTTGCATCTGTTCTTTGTAAAAACAACAGCAACCAAAAAACTAAACAGCATGACACAGCAGACATTATTTTTAATACCAGGATCATTAGCAGCAAATACAGGGGAGAATTTATCATTTTTCAGGTTAGGTGCTAAGCTCCTTACATGAATTATCTCTCTTAATTACCACACCCTATTAATTAAGCTTTATTATTGTTTCTATTTTATAGTTGAGGAAAACGGAAGCTTAGGAAATATAAATACCTTGCCCTTAGTCTCAGAGCTAGTGGGTGATAGAGCTGGAATTTAAATTCGTTGAGTCTGACTCCAGAATTTGCTGTTAAATATATATGATACTGTCTCCCTAACAATTTATAGGTCAAGAACTGAAAGATAAAATGATAATCTAAGGTCACAAAGAATCACATTTCCACTCAATGATCACATTGCCTCAATAAATAAAATGGGAGGTGTCCAACAGAGGAAGACTAATGGACATTTGTCAAATCTTAAGCTGAAACTTTGGGTAAGATATTTTAATGTAACATCATTTCCAGTAACTTGCAGCCACATTTAATTTTCCATAAATTCCCAGAAAATGAAACAAATTGCACTACCATATACCTTTCCATCAGTGAAGTATCGACAGTTCATTTTTAAAAATTTTACGACGCCTGGCTCATCTTCTTCAGACGCAGATGATAAGACTCTTTCAATAGGTTTTAAGGCCTTTCTTGCTAAATCAGCATCCTTAGAAAGTAAAAATTTCCAAAATAAATACAAGCAGTATTTCAAAACAAATTAATTATATAAAGCATACCCTATAAGTTCCCTGTAAGTAAACTTTTTAACTTGAACATTAAAAAAAAGGCAAAAGTCTTTCGTCCTTCAAAAATATTACAAATACAACAGGTACCCAAATCACACTAAGATTTAAAAACAAAAACAAAAAACATGTGTATGAACCTACAAAACTGAGTCATTAAACTCTTTAGAAAATAAACTAATATGAAATAATGCATATCAAACTCATGATTAAAATTCTCTAGAAAAAGGAGACTATAATAAACTATCAGTCTCATCAGACATTTAATTTCATAATTTTATCCAAGTCATGCACATTTGACTTTGAGAGTTTAAATGTGAACCAACTTCTCTTGGATAGGATGTGTTCTCTAAAGGAATGACAAATTATTTACCCTACCTATTTGGGGGAAATTTTAGATGTAACCTTATGAAAAATAATATGTAGAATTCTGTAACTCACAAAAAATCTTTTTGATAAATATGAACTTCAGTGCACGAAGGGCATACGTACAGGCAGTTTATCATATTCTGCATCTGATGATGACGGAGAGACAGTAGCACCAGGGCTGGATGATGATAACCTTAAGGTACTGGAAGGAAAGTTGGCATCTGGCACAAAAAGAACCTGAGAATGGGAGAGGTGTTGGGTAAGTAACAAGAATCAGGCAAACCACTAGCCAGTGTTTAGGGTGGTTACTCTGTGCACAGTATGATGTTAGGTGTTTGTCTAAAACCTAACTGGCTTTTGTGAAACTCATAAGCTATGTGGTGTCTTCTAGACTAAACCATGAAACAATGCTCAGCAATATGAGAGTGTGTATATTGTTGGAAACTACTGAACACACCTGTAGACACTGCAGGAGCTCACAAAGAAGACAGCAAGGTAGTATTCAGGGCAGGCCATGTGAAGGAAGTGTGCCCAAGTGAAGCCTTGAAGAGTAAGTAGGATTTGACAGGTAGGGAGGGAAGAACCTTCTAGGGAAGGGGACTAACAATATAATGAAATAGAGGAGAGAGAAGCATGGCATGCTTCTAAACATAACACCTACACCAGGTGGAAATGGAACAAATCCAGGCTTGCTAACTCCCAGCAAGCTCTGAGTGCTAAAGTACGTAAGGTCCTTAACTGAGAAACTGTACAAGGTAATAGCAATACAATAATCTTAATATTTTCTCCATCAGTGTCTGGGTTACCTAAAAACAAAAATAAAAATTCAACAGATTATTTAAAATAGTCTCCTTCTAAAAGATGTTCGGTTCCCTAAATGTTATTATGATCCCGTTATTCAATACTCTTAATGAGACATGCTACATTTTGGCTTACATCACATACAGTCTTAAAATGTTGACCTCTAATGTTATAAAACAGAATTCAAAGCTAATCATATAACAACTGATCAATATTATTTTTCATTGTCTCCCATCCTTCTAGTATTGTCTGTTTTAACATTAGTCATTTAAATCTAACTTCAACCCAGAAAAAATTTGAGGCAACAACAAAAGACACGTTAAAATAAAGGTAGGAAAGTTAGAGTCAAGGGGAAATAAGATGAGGACTGATTACTACTAAAAATACGTGCTCCAAAATCACTAAATACTCACTGAGAGGTGGGCCATAAAACTGGCTGAGTTTCCAAACAAGCAATACAAAGAGATGTAATTAATTAGTTATATCATCCAATTAGTTACAGAATTCAATTTCCATAAAATAAAAACAATTCAGTTTCTCAAGAAGAAGTACAAGCATTCTCCCATGAGGTCTCATTAAAAAAAAAGAGGGTCCTAAACTAACAATTCGCCCTCGACGCACTCACAGTAAATACGATAACCAATTTGGGTGACTGTTCTTTATAAAATCTTCAATTCCGATGTCAATGGCAAAAATGCCCAAGCTTAATTCTGTAAAAGCAACTTTACAAAGGGCTACAATGGTTTAGTCTTGGTATGCAGCTCTCTTACTTATTCTACATATATCAACTAGAGCAATGCGTGGATAGCATTTCTTTCAAGCAATTCTCCGTAAGTATTCGTTTTTTGCATCTGAGCTTTTGACAAGTATTTGGCAACACAGGTTGAAGTTCTAGTCTCAGACACATTCTAAATGGCAAATCAAAGGGGTACTTCCTATGCTTATACAGTTAACTGCACTAGAGATAGAGGTGACATTTGAAAGCTGGGAAGCTCAGCCAGAACACGTGCCACCTCAACATGGAAGTGAGCCTGGGTCACAAGCTGGGGTGAAGCTGTCCTAGTGCCTTCAGTAACTATTTCTGGATTTGTTTCAACACATAGGGAAATGAGCATTTGAGGTCCCCAAGTTCTTTACCATAAAGCTGTCAATATTTTAGTCTACAAAAATTGTTTAGCCATTGTGCCCCACGTATATTAAAAAAATCTTAAAGTATCCATTAGCAAGGTAACTTCCTAGCGTACTCAAGATAAACTACTTGTAAAAGTATATTCTTTGTCTCCTAAATTCAAAAAGATTCATACTGTATATCCTCAAATTTGCTATAAGTATTAGAACTAATGGCCAAACTCAGGACCTCTGAAAAAAAAATTTTATGCCTCAGTTCTTTAAGTTTTTCTGAGTTTGTTTTTTTGGCTTTTAAAGCAACAGAAAGTTTAGAGTGAGATTTTAATTCAGTAAGCTCCCAGGCAACCTCCTTTGTAAATCACCTCTCACATTCAGCCACTGATCTGGCCAGACCAGTTTTCTTTCCTACTTCAAAGTGATCATCAAACCAACCTCTACAAGGGTGAGCCTTAAACTTTCCAGAACCAGAGTAGCTAAACCAGGTTTTTATTTATCACATCTACTGAAATAAGAGGGTTACCTACACCTCCAGGTATCAAGACAGAGTATTTAAAAATCCTGGAAAGCAAAAAGTCAGCTGGAAAGCAAAAGCTCATCTACAGTTTTTGAAAGCTCCTCAATCTATTTCACTCTTCTTGGTTCCCTATCTTTGACAGCAAAACCATGAGTACAGAAGGGTCCTGGAACAACTGAACAGCACATAACTAGTTCTATAAGGGCCAGACAGCACTGGAAAGGCTCAAAGGATACCTGAGATAATGTGGCCCAACACCTAATTCCAGAGATTAGGAAACTGATGTCCAAAAATGAAAGTGACTTGCCCAGGCCACGTAGCTGCTACGAGGTCAAATGGAAACAAAACTTGGGGGCTCCTATTTCTGGTATTTTTGCCATTATGGTAGGCTGTCTCCAGGTAGCACATTAAAACAGTTTTTATACCTCTTACTGGCTGCTGGACCTTATTCCAGTACCAATGAACTATTTTGCTTACAGACACAGTCAAAAAACAAGGCATCTCCAGAAATTATTTTACTAAGTTTCAGTGACTGAAGTCTTTAGTCTTGAATTAGTAAATGTGAGTCTAGGCTCTTTTCTATGAATGCTATGTATTATACAGCAATACCTCAAATTATAAGATAAATCCAACAATGAAAGAGACTAAAATCTGTTAATTTTCTTAGAGATGAAAAGTTATTAATTTCTGAAAAGTGTTAATGCATACTTTCCCCAATTACCTGGCATTGAAAGTACTGTGTACTAATTCCTCCTTTTGACAAGAACACAAATACCAAAAGCACTGTAGTACAAACTGGCCAATGTGTGCCTTTGTTGGCTGCATGTGCTGATCTTGAAAAAAATACAAAGAACATTATCACTATTGTCTGAATGATGTTGTGTTTAAAAGTAGCAATATCCACCCTGAAAGAATTAAATGTCACTACAATGTAGAGAGGGCACTTGGTAGCACAGTAGTTAAGCATTTGGCTGCTAACCAAAAAGCTCAGCAGTTCGAATTCGCCAGCCGCTTCTTAGAAACCCTATGTGGCAATTCTACTCTGTCATTAGGGTTGCTATGAGTTGGAATAGACTTGATGACAATGGGTTTGTTTTTCATTTTGTTTTACAATGTGGAGAACCGACTGACTGTTTACCAAAAGGTTGGCAGTTCAAAACCACCAGCGGCTCTGCGTGAGAAAGATGTGGCAATCTGCTTCCGCAGAGATTTACAGCCTTGGAAACCCTACGGGGTTGCTATGAGTCAAATCGACTCAATGGCAGTTGGGTTCTGAGTTATAATGTAGACAAAGGAATCCCGGTAGCACAACGGTTAAGCATCTAGCTGCCAACTGAAAGGTCAGCAGTTCAAATTCACCAGTGGTTCCGTGGCAGAAAAGACCTGATGATCTGCTCTTGTAAAGACTACAGCCTAGGAAACTCTATCGGACAGTTTTACTCTGTCCTACAGGGTTGCTATGAGTAAGAACTGACTTGATGGCACACAACAACATAACTCAGAGACACAGTACGATGCTCTAGTAAGTCAACAATGGAACCCAAACATGCTCATGGTGACCTATGAGCTCCACAGATGGGACTGGGAAGCTTGACTTGAACTAAGATCTTCCAGTGACTGAATCATTTAAATTTATTGACTGAACATAATTTTTTAAAGTGGAAATATAGGAATATATTACCTTACACCTGTACAAAGTTGAATTGGCAAAAGTCGCGTGATAGATATATTTACAACAATGACCAGGGGAAAAAAAAAAAAAAAAGAGTAGCAGCTGAGGCTGCTCATGTACAACCAAAAACCTCATGGGATTTGGCTCCTTGGTTTGGAGGTTTAGGGGCATGGTTTCATGGCACATCCCAGCTAACTGGCCTAATAACGTGTTTAGTGCTTCTGTTCTACTTCCTAGCTTGTTGTATAGTGCCTGGGATCTTAAAAACTTACAAGTGGCCACCCTAGGCATGGCAATTGGTATCCGTTTGCCTGGAGCAACAGAGAGAGTCAGGAATAGGAGGAGGATATGGAATGCATGGCTAATGAACAACTGCCTCCTTTGCCATGGGACCAGAAGAACTGGATGGTGCCTGGCTACCGTTATTGAACATTTTGATGAAAGATTCTACAGAAGAATCCTGGTCAAAAGGGTGAAAATGCGGAATAGAATTTCAAATTTTCATGGACTACAGACTTTCCAGAGCCATGGAGGCTGGATGCACGCTTGAAACCACTGCCCTGAGATAATCTTTAAACCTTAAACCAAAAATATCCCCTGAAGTCTTCTTAAAACCCAACAGTCTAGCTTAACTAGTAAAAACTGTCTGCCTTGAGCATTATGCTTTTTTAAGAACTATCTATATGAGATCAAAGTGACAACAGCAACTTGAAAGATTAGATAGGAACCTTAGGGGGCAGTGAGTTTATGTTAATGGGTGAGGAACAACTCAGAAAAGCAGCGTGAGAATGGATCACAATTCAAAGAATGTAATCGGTGTCACTGAATTGTACATGTAGAAACTGTGGAACTGGTGTATGTTTTGCTGTGTATATTCTTAACAACAACAACAACAATTTCAAAAAGGGAAAAAATATATAGAAGTTATGAAAAAAAAGTTTGCTAGATTAATCTAGAGTGACAAAATTATACATTTTGACAATTTCATTCAGTTTCACAAAATACTAAAAGCCCGGAAAAAAATTGTGTATGGTCTTTTGTTGATGGTCCTGCTGAATTCGTCTCTGCCTTTGGTCAGGTCGACCACTCTTTTCAACCTGGTACCACTGTACCAAATCAAGACAAAAAAGACAAAGATTCTGCCTAATTTAAAATAAACAATGACCAGAATATATTCCAGGAGTGGACGAAACTGAAACTTGCAATTTTGAATTAAACATTCTAAGAACATTTGTTAATACAACAACAACAAAATCACATTAATTTAGAACTTCTCTTAATGCCCTAGGAAACACCCGCTACACAAACTAGCAATCATCATGATAGTCTCTGTTAATCCTTTGCAAAGCATTCCTCTCTGAACAGCTCAATTTTCAGTGTATTTGGATTTAGAGGAAAGACTGAAGCAACACACATTACCATTAATGATAATCCTGTCACACTAATAGTGAAGCATTAAAATGGCAGTAAAAAATAAATGAAGAATTTCTAAAGTCATATTTAACAATAAAATAATTACCTGGCCTGGAACAATAGTATGAGTGAAAAGTTTGTTCAGTTCTACTAGTTTATTGGGAGTGATGTTAAACTTCAGTGCTATGGAGTTTAGAGTGTCCTGGCTTCCAGTCTAGAATAATCAAACAAACAAGGCTCGTTACACATATGAAAAAAATATCTTTTGCTAGACAGTATTAATCTATTCACAATGAGTGAATAAAAACAATTCCATCCAGACATGTCATGACAGAAAGAGAGAATATGTTCTCAGTTCTTAAGAAAACCACATAACTGCAAATTCTTAAACACAATTCATGTCTGGGCTCTCTCATCTTCAAATATCACTGTCCAGTCATAGATTTCTAAATTTGCTCTGGCACAAGTTAGGAGTATGGAGTAGATGTCCATGAGGTATAATAAAAAACTGTAAGAGGAAAAGAAGCCAATAAACATACAGGAACGGGGGAGTGGGGTTAATTTCTCTATTTCAACCGCCTGTCTACTTGCCCGGCCCTTCACTGCACTCTAAGCTCCTGGATGGAGGCCTGCTCATGGCCATTTTCCTTAGTGCTCAGCACAGCGCCTGACACGCGAAAGCACTCAAACACTTGAAGGATGCATACTGTGGACGGCAGGGCAATCTGAAAGAAATTCAGATTAGCTACCAATGATTGTTCACTGTCATTAAGTTGACATTTTCCCATGGCCAGCCAAATTTAGAATTATTCTCCAAATCTAGAAGAACCTGTGATACAGATCCCAGTTATACACTTTGTTTTTGGGTGTTTTGTTTTGTTTTGTCTTCCAGTAATAGAGGAGGAAGAGGAATAAAGAAGGCAGTGAGAAGATGAGAAATATAATCAAAAAGCTCCACCCAGGATCATCAGACAGCCCTTGCTAGTGGTAGGTCACTTTGGTCAATGTTACTAAAAGTTCCCATCTACAATCCTGGGTCAAGACTGGTGGCTGTCCCTACAAGTGGAACTGGCTACACCAGCGGAGTCTTGAATTAGGTGGAGATATGGGGAGGCTGCAGGAGGAGGTGAACTGACTGGGGAGAAGGTGGAGACATACAAGTGGAATTAAATGCATCAACTAGTTGAACTGTCTTAGAATATTGATAGGTTATGGTTACAGAAGAGGTCCCTGGGTGGCGCATATAGTTTGTGCTCAACTACTAGCCTGAAGGTTGGTGGTTAGAACCCACCTAGAGGCACTGCAGAAGAAAGGTCTGGCAATCTGCTTCCATAATGATTAAAGCCCAGAAAACCCTATGGAGAAGTTCTACTCTGTAACACGTGGGGTCGTCATGAATTGGATTCAACTTGATGGCAATAGTTTTGTTTTTGTTTTTTTTGTTAATAGTTACAGAAGAGGTCCCTGGGTGGTGGAAATGGTTAATGCACTTGGCTGCTAACCAACAGGTTGAAGATTCAAGTCCACCCAGAGGCACCTCAAAAGAAAGGCCTGGCAATCTATTTCTGAAAAACCAGCCACTGAAAACCCAGCGGAGCACAGTTCTACTCTGACAAACATGGGGTCACGCAGGGTCACCATGAGTCAGAGTTGACTCGATGGCAACTGGTTACCATTTACACATTTTAAGTTACAGATACCACTAGCTTCAAAGCCTTTCTAGAAATGTTTTATAAAATCACTGAAAATTTAAGTAAACAATGTATGCCCCTACTTCTACCCTGTGCAAAATCATCTCTAGCAAAAAAAGAAAAAAAAAATTTTAATATACATTTTTTCAATATTATATACTTACATAATATACTCAAACTCAGAGGTTTTCAGGGTTTAGAGTTAGTACAAGATACAAATTGAGAATACAGACTCTGGAGCCAGACTGCTGGATATGAATTCTGGGTCTGCCATTTACTAGTTGTGTGACTTTTGCTTAACTTCTCTATGTCTCAGTTTCTTTACCCATCAAATAGAGCTAACTGTAATATCTGCTTCATGGCACTTACTTCACAGTCAGCGATCAATAAATTTGCTTCATATTTTTATGAGTAAAGCTTGTGGAAGATACAGCGCATGGAGGGCTCAGTGAAGGAGAAAAAATTTAACAATCGAGTTATTATATAAGGGTAAAACATACAAAAAGAATTAGGCCACAGGCCCTGAGAGGAATGCTGGGATCATTTAATGTTTGCACTAAACCAGAATGCTTGAACATTCACAGCTTGGGAGCAATATAAGCAATCTGGTAAGCACTAGTTCGGTTCTCTAACTACGAAACTTTTATTTCTAATGACAAGTGCACAAAATAACTTGCCAAGTAAAACTAGTCTCCATAACATATAAATCAAACAGGGAGGCATATCTATATTACTATTTTGATCACTTATTTATATTCACTAATTTATCTGGGCTTTGGTTATCACTCTCACTGCACTCCTTCGTATATACTATATAAACGGACACCTAGCAAACAGCACTCCTCATTTCTTTGAAGGGTCTTGTGAGTCACTGCAGGACACACATGGATCTTAAGAATTATGGCTTTAGAATTAGCAGTGCTATCGTCGATAAATAATTTAATCCAACATCCTCGAGTGCCTGCTATGAGGTAATGCACTGTGCCAGTGTTACCGGCATCAGCAACACATTTCAGATAGTGGTAATGTGAGACGTAATCACCCCAAATCCTTTCTGGAAATAAGTGGGCCTGTACACCACAAAAAGATGCCTAGAGATGTTCACAGAGCACTGAGCAGGAAATCCCTGTGCTCGGGGCTCTTCAGCATGACTCCACAAAGGCTTGGAGATTTACCATTTCAAAAGAAACACCACTGAAGGATCAAGTCTTGCTGCTTTCCTTATGAGGGCCTGGCACGGCATAGGAATAACAAATATAAAACCAACTGACCTTAGGGGAACACAACCAGGAAATGGCAATGGCATTTGATTTCTATTTAGAAGTCGAAGAGAACACTCCGTGATAATGCTATTTCATAGTGAATTAAAGCAGATCTATAACTGAGTGCCCAGATTGTGCCAGGCCTTGAATAAATAAGATATAGCTCTTGGCCTCCAGGAGCTCATCAAGCAGTGAAGGAGGTGAGCACATGACACACAGTGTGAAAGTATAATAATGGACACATTTATAGCCTTATTCTTCTACTGATGCAACAATATTGAGTGCCTACACTCTGCTAGCACCAGGAATACAATGGTGAACAAAAAGGGGTCCAGTCTCTTTTCATGGATATATGAATTAGGGCATGAGACAGGTATTAAAATAACAACCACACTAAATGAACCAATAATGTTAAGCTGAGATAAAATATGTAAAAGAACATGATTCTATGAGAGAGTAAAATGAAGGAACCTGACCTAGACTTGTAGGATGGTTACAGAAGGTAGGCATGACTATGGCGAGTGAGGGGAAGATGTCAAGGATAAAGGATTTGGCTTGTACAAATACGTGGATGAAGGGGTCACTGCTTCTTGTAAAGGACCAAGGAAGCATGGAGGTCCAAATGGATGTGTTGAGTATGTAGATGAATATATGGTTTTGGAATTCAGAAGGGATGTCTGGTATGGAGACCTAAAACTGGTAGTCATTGGTATATCAAAGGTAATTCCAGTCACAGGTGTATATGAGATTGCTGGGAGGAAGTATAGAGGGAAGAGAAATGGTCTACAACAGGTCTTAAGCCTCATGATTTAATACGTACATAAGAGGAATGCAGCTAAGAGGCAGGATGTGTCACGGAAAAACATTACGCCAATCTACCAGTATTAACAAGTATTTGAACCATCTTGTTCATACTTACAGTGTATTCCATAGTACCATGTGGCTTCTGAACCACCATCTTCTTCTCTTTTTTATCATGTGTTTTGTTCTGATTGTCATCTGAAGAATAAATTGTATGTAAATGAGTAATTTCATTTTCAGCAACTGAAGATGGGTTTACTTTACAGTATATAAGACCTCCTCTCGAAACGATAAAAAAAAGCTTCAAAACACCAATAAAAAAGTGGACTAAGGGCACACATATGCAATACTCAGAAAAGTATGTCATTAGACAATGAACATATGAATAAATGATTAACGCTAACTGTGAGAAAATAATACAAATAAAAACAATGAGGTAATTAGTTATTAACATAATAGTTTAAAATGAGAATGCAGAATGATGATGAGGTTAGAGTAAAACCAGTGCAGTCTTGATATAAATGATACATATTGCAAATCAGCACAGCCCTTTTAGAGAATGATTTGGCAATATGTGGCAACAGCCATAAAAGTGTTCTTTCTCTGACTCAGTAATCCTTCTCTTAGGAATTTATCCTAAAGAAAAATTCAAAAAGAAGAAAAATGCTGTATGTCACAGCATGTGGTCAGTGCAATATTATTTATATTAATGAAAAGCTGGAAACACTTATATATCCAACAACATATTAAATTGAACCATAGATTTTTGCTGTTTTTGTAGGTCAAAAACAGCCAACTACTGCCAGCTACATATAAGTCAACCTAACTGTTACAGTTAAATGCATCTTGATGTAGTAATCTAACAGAATGTTATCCAGATTAAAAAAAAACCATAGAGACATATTGCAATGGATAAAAATTTAAGTGACAAAAAGGATATAAAATTGAATTGACTATGAAAAGATGCTCCAACTTATATGTGATCCGAAAAATGCAACTTGAAAGGTATCGTTTTACATCTATTAGCCTGGCAAAATAAAAAAACTGGGTAATTTAGGGTTAGTAGAGATGTGAACTGCTACTAGGAACGGAAACTGGTAAAGCCATTCCAGCAAATTAAGTACAGAACCTGGATAAGCTAATAATCTAACTCATGGATGTACATCTTCCCTAGGAGGTATACACTTTATGTGTACCATAAAGTGACAAGTGTCACCTATGGCAGTGGGAAGCTGGAGGGTAAACAAAACGTGGTGTATACACACTCTGGGGCATTAGGTGGTAATGAGAAATAACAGATCAGAAGTATACACAGTGACATGTTTAGATTAAGAGAAACAGAATGGGATCTACAAAACAGTATCATTTATGTACCTTTAAAATGTATGCAAACAAAACCACCACACACATTTTTCAAGGACATAAACAAATAAAAGGCTATACACTACATACAATAGATTGGAGTGGGGTGAGGAAGAAAATGGGAGTGGGAAATGAGGATAGAAGGGAATTAATGAATAAATAACAAAGGGCTCAGCTCTGACCAGTGATGACATCTCATGAACTGAGAAATGTGATTAACTCAGCCTTCTACACTTCAGGTCCTACACACACACACACACACACACACACACAAATATATCAACAGTATAATTTCATCTACATATAAAATATGGGTGTACTGGATGAGACCTGGAAGGTAACCAAGAAACCTGAAAAGAGTTAATTCCCGTGGGATGGTATTTGACTTTTAAAAATTTCCTTTATACTGTTTAAAAATAAAAACCAAGAGAGAAAAATATATTTAAGCAGATGCTGCCATTAAAAGTCATGTTCTAGACATTTGTACATTCAAATAAGACTATTCATAGAACCAGAGACCCTGAGAATTCCTCTAGACTATATTAAAAAAATTACCTCACTACCTTCCAGTGGCCACATCTAAATTACTTCAGGAAGATGGGACTAATGACTATGTGTTATAGATATCCAGTTCTCCAAATAAGAAGATTTCTACACAGCCTACCCAGAAACCCAATCACAGTATTTTCCAACTCTTTTATAAGATAAAAAGTGTAAAAACTGGTTTGTATAGTTCTGGGCACGTAAGCAATAAATGTTAGCAACACTCTTCTTTCTTTTTTCCTTCTAGAGAGTCAGAAAAAAAAATTGTTTTTGTTTTACACACATGGAAGGTGGATACCCCAGGCTTGTAACTCCCAGATATATTCTTTCAAGGGACCCTTTGGCATTAGGTTAAATGTTGTTTACTCCTCTTAACATCTCAGCTGCACTCTCTTTGTTGTGCATTCCTGTCCTTTCTCACTGTCACCATAATCAGCTGTCACTTGAGATCTTCTTGCTTTCAAAACAGCCTCTTTATATCCCTTTGTGGGCGCTTCCTGTTTCTAGAACCTAAGATATGCTTCCCTCTTCCCATCTGTGGCAGCTTCTGTCCCACACCCTTCCATAAGCTATACATCATGATCTCTAGCTGCCAGTAGGGAGTACTATTATAAGACACATCAACTCTTCACCCAGCTGCAAAAGAAAAATGTGTGCTGGATGAACCTTTCAGGGTAACCATAACTAGATATTCCTGAATTAGTACAAAAATCAAATTACTTTCCATTGGCACAGGTGGGTAGGCTAGAAAAATGACAAAAATGGTAACATTATTGAAAAAGAAGAAAAGAAAAAGCCTGTCCCTCTGGGGTCTAAGATTTTGAGATAGTTGAGATTAGGACTGTGATGTACCCATTTTTGAATGTCTTGTGCCTTAATATGATACCTGACATTTAAGGTTCAATGAATTTCCCAATATAGGTCAAAGAGCCTGATGAGTTTGGTTGTGGGCCAACACTACACTGATCAAATCACACGCACCTGTCAAAGACCCCAAATGAATACTACATTTTAAAGTTGACCCAATATAGAAAGCAGAGGAATTGGAAAATTCTTAGGATCTTATTTAATTGTCTTCATATCATTGCAGCACAAGGTAAGGTTTCATATTACTTCCTAAACTTTTTTTGCAGTGAGTTTTAAAGATGGTTATCTAGTAAGTGAAGTCCCGTATATCTTACCAAGCCGAGCTCTGCAGCACCTAGTCCACAATGCACTGGTGAGGTTTCTGGCCCTAGAGAGAGCCGGGAAGAGACCTGACCTGCGGCAGGGAAGGACTGCTCTTCTGGGCTTTGGGACAAGGTTCCAACTCCAGTGTTTCAGGCTAGGACCCATGATCATCCCCAAGGGTGGAACTGTCTCCCACTGACACTGACACCTCTACTTCCAGCTTCAGGCCTTTATAAATCTACCCAAACGCTGACCCTCTCCCTCCTCCTTTACAGGAACTTGAGGCAAACGTAGCCGAAGGATCCACTGCCGGAGGGGCAAGTTAGCCAAGCGTTCCTCAGAAGCCATTCAGAGCAAAGGAACTGAACTTCTTAACGGCCCCACCCCCAAAATGAAGTTTTCAGAGTGGGATTTTCCCAGTTTAGTTAAGGAAGTAACTGTGGCAAAACTGACAAATACCTAGAGAAACGAAACACAGGCCCTTCAGCCTAGCCTACCTTGTTCTGCATAAATTCGGGGTCGTGGGGCAGGTACCTTTGTTGTCCTCAACCCAGGTGGATCTGGTACCCTGCCTACAAGTCTTGCTTCCTCCCTCCCAACCCCTACAACGCTAGGGGTGTCGGGAACCCAATACTCTGAGCTCCTGAATCTGAGAAGATCCCCAGGAATGGGTTTACTGAAAGAAACACTCTCTCCCTAGGCATTGGGAGCCCAAGAAAGGGGAGAACAAACTCCCTACGACTTCAGGTCTCCTTCTTTTTTTCCCTTTAGAGCATACCTAAGCAAATCCACTTGCAGAAGCAGATGATTCCAATTGCAGGACAAATAATTAGAATGTACATTTTAGATATAAACTGGAAACTGCATGTGTTGGTTTTGCACAAAAACAGGCACGGAACCCTAACCTAAGCTCTCCCCAACTCTCTATAGTACCGCTGTTCACATGCAGCCATCTGGTGCTGAGTCAGCCTCTTTACGTTAACTTCTGGCTGCTCTAGCACCTCCTGTGTTGCTGGTGCTGATGGCAAAGCAGCTTCAAACATCTGCTGAAGCTGTTGCTTGAAAAGGGCCATACTTCGCTCCAGAGTGGTGAGAGCTGAATGAGTCTGTATGTACAAGAAGTTTCTTTCTAAGGGTCCACTTTTGGTCCTGCCACTCAGGGCATGTGAGGTTACAATGGTGCACAATGCAGCCTAAAACACATAAAGTCATCTTAACCAGTGCCTCTTGCATGTTCAAAAGAGCATTGAGATGACTAGCATTTTCAAACACGGCCTCCAAACTGATCTGGGGTAAACAAAAGAGCTTTGAAACCATTCTGTTCATCTCATACTATGGCTGCTGTTCCTCATAAAGACTAGAAGACATGACACCATGTTAGTACTTAAGTCTTTACAACTTGGAAGGAGTGCTCTCTAATTTTATATTACCTAGAACTGGGAAAAAACAACATTCTTTTAGTTAACCTAACAATTTCTTTTTCTTTTGGAGAGGAAAACAAAGAGGAACAAATAGTCCACTTTTCACCAGCAATTTTTAAAATGTAAATCTAATTATTTGGGACTGGTAGATATAAAAGAACAAGATGCTGGCAACCAATGGTAAACAGACAGAAAATCAGACCAAAAATGCAAAGTCAACAAAACTTCCAAAAGCTTTGAAAGTAATGATGCTAAGAGTTGAAGAAAATAAACTTGGAAGGGCATGCAATATTAAATTCAAATAGATATCTGTCTGTCTGCTATGTATTGGGTATTGGTAGAGGCAGAGGAGGAGGAGAGGGAGAGATGATAAGAGTGATTATTCTACAGGACGTTACACTCTAACAGGCTTTCTCAAACTCAGCACTATGGTATTTTGGGCTGGATAATTCTTTGTTTTGGGGGGATCTGTCTTGTGCATTGTAGGATGTTTAGCAGCACCTGGCCTATATCCACTAGATGCCAGTAGCAACCCCTCTTCCCAGCTGTGACAACCAAAAATGTCTCCAGACATTGACAAATGTTCCATCAGGGACAAAACTGTCCCAGTTGAGAACCACTGATTTAATAGGAGTGATACGACAAAAACAAGACAATCATTCTAAACAGAAAATTGTGGTGATGATGATGAAGAAAATTAAT